GAGTGTAACATTGAAATAATAGCTCTTGAAATAGTTATGAGATGAACATATTATATTCCCTCCAGTTGCTCCACCACAATGAAGTCNCAGTAAACCGATCGAGAAATAGCTTTTCTCCATTAAGGATGCTAGATCAGTATTGTCACATTCCAACACTTCTTCTACCTTTATCCTACATTTGAAAACTGGTCCTCCAGAACAAGAATTCAAACTTCCACTATTGTAAATAACATTGCTGTTACAAGTTTCCACTGTCCAACCCAAAGATGCTGACATTTGTTCTTGTGGGAATAATTTCCAAACATCTGAACTATTCAATCCTAACTTTCTGAGCTTTAGATCTTCTATATGGTTATTCCCAACCATGTAACCAAACATGAGAGTCGTGTAAAACTCAGGACAATAATTCCAATCTGTAACATGGTTCAACAATCCAATCGTTGATGGAGAAGGAATAATTGGTACATATTGAAGTGGTTCCAAATCCTCAACAATTATCTTTAACAATACCCAGTCATCCGAAACTTGATTACTGAGTCGAAAAGCCCCTTCTTCAACAACAACACACTGTCCTTTCTTTCCATCAATTTCTGCAACAACCTCAACAAGGGATAAATCATGATCTTTAGTTGGATACAAAACATGAGCACACGTGAATGCCATAACGTATCCTTTCATATTATTGAGCACAATCACTGCAGTACCAATTGATGAGTAGATCTTTGAATTGGAGGCACTTTTCAGTAAGGCAGTTATTTTGCAAACCTGCTCCGAAATTGAGTTGAGATTTTCATGATTTGCTTTAAAGCAATGCTTTTTTGCTACAAATTTGGGAGTAATCACATTTCTCTTATTGATTATCTTGTCGTTTTTCAATGGAATAAAGGAATTAGCATTATAGTGCAGGGTTTCATTTTCGGTTAGTATTATTTTAATAGTGGAAACAGAATTCTCACTGTCCTTAATATTGAATATTAGAGTTTCGAACATCATTGCATCTGAAGTATTTACTCCAATTGGGGTAGCATTCGGATCATGCTCATACAATCCTTCCTCAGTAATAAAATCTAATAATGCATCATCATCATGAGAGTCTACATCGGGTTTTCTCATTTTTATTTAAACAATTCTTAATAGCTTATTTCCTCAGCGAAACTCACTGTGCCACAACACATAGAAAATTGGTGCTAACAACAAGGTAATAGCTTGAGAAAATTTGTAGAATAAACACATGTACAGCATTGTAATTGTTATCTGTGATTTAATAGGGGTAGCACTATTTGAATTTGGTATGGTCTTATCGATCCAACCTGTTTTTGGAGTTTTGTTACATAATAAACTTGCTGTTCTTCAATGTTATGTAACACCTATGGAAAATAATCAATTAAAAGATGGACAGGACAAATTGTTTACAATAGATTTTTTCACACAACTGTTTGTTTTTAAAACCTGCCAGCTGACATTAATTAAGCCCTATTCGAAAAAAAACAAAATGAACAAGATTACATTGTGTATCTAATTTGCTTTAATTGCATTGTTTGCTTGTGTTGCATCCTTCACTCAACCCAGAGAAGAACAACCAATTGACACTGCTGCTCTTTTGAGAAAACATGCTCGTAACTTGTATCCAGATTCAAGCGATCGTCAAATTATAAGAAAGTTATTCCCAAGAGTCAAGTCAATCAAAAGACGTCTTGCCCCTAAGAGTGTTGATAATGTTGTAAAGAGTTTGAGTGATGCTTCTTCATTTGATTGTGCTAGATATTGTGCTGGTAGTACTGGTGATTATAAGGTTTCTTGTTATCATCATTGCATGCGTTATAATTTGTAATTCAGAACTATTGGAAACAAATTTCCAGTTTAGCTGAGATGCGACTGGATTTCAATAAACCAATTTCAATGTGTTTGGTGTGG